TAATAATTTAATTAGATATAATTAATATTTTTAAAAATAATATTAACAATTTTATATAATTATAATAGTTTTATGTGTTGCCATTATCATGTCTAGAAACTATAAATTAATGATAATATGTGTAATTGATCTGAATGGTACTAAACATCACACACACACACACACTTAAACACAAGATTATCCAACATTTCTAGCTAATATTGCCAACAAAAATTAGAACATGTAGATGGGCTAACAGAAAATGACTGCTCTGAACATGACAGGGAGCATCCTATGCTTGCAAATCATGAAATTAATTACTTAAATCAAATAATTAATTGATTTGTTAAGAATTAATAGGAAATTGTTAATAATGCCTCAAACAGTGTCCTATGACTTGATATTAAATTAAAAGTCTTGAGTTTTAACTTTAAAACTTAAATAAGTGAAGATATATGGAAGAAAAGGGGAAACTTACCCATTGGAGCTTGTTTGATTAGTGACAATTGTTCTTTTTATTTATCAAAATATAAAAATAAACTAAAAAAAATACATATTCCTTAAAAATAGAAAGAGTACATATTCCTTAAAAATAGAAAGAGTACATATTCCTCATTTATCTTTTAATTAGTTTAATAGAAAATTACCAACATTTAAAGTTTTGTTTTTCATAGATTCTAAAGATAGTTTTTCAAATTTACTTTATTTTTATATGAAGTATATGTTAAAGGTACAATAAACATACCATTTTATAATTAATTTATATAAAAGAAAAGTTACAAAAGTTGACTTTTATATTAACATCATTACTATGGAAATAATTTTAATTAATCAATTAATTATATCAGAGTCAATATTTATATTTTTTATATAAATTAATTATAAAAGGTACATCTCAAAAGTATGGCTAAAAAAAAAAAGGAAAAAAAAAGGCATAGATTAGAAAGGCTATATTTTTATAATTTGATAAAAAAAAGTAGCTACCACTACTAACCAAACATAACCTTGTTGTATAATTCACACATCAAATGAATTAAGGAAAAAAAGACCGTACATCTTAATTATGAAAATTAGGAAAATGTTTATACGAGGGAGACAATGGACCCCTTAAAGCTAGAACCAAAAAAGTGACCAAATTGAATTGAAACACATCTTTGTCCTTTTTTACGGTGGGAATTGCAGGTCATTCTCAAATCATTAAGATGCCTCCTGTATGCCTTTAATGCAAATTCCTCCTCTTTATTGTTCCAATTTCTTCACAAAGAGAGGATTGAGATTCTTTGACAAAGAATATTAACCATGCATGAGGAAAACTCTTTAATCCTATATACTTGGCAAAGGGATGCATAGTCGAATCCGCTATAGATTATGTGTCATAGTTTCATTGCAGACTTTTTATATGCTAAAAAGAAGGAACAATCAGAGAGACCCACTTTCTAAGAAAATATATATATCCTACGACCACGAGGTTCATGACTAGCTAGGTTCGATCGAGTCTTAGTCCTGCTTACCTTAAGGGGATGTTTGGTTGGGGAAACTTAATTTTCTCTCAAAAATTCTTTTTTTTTTTTTATAAAGTTGTTTATGTATTTTTATATATTAATATTATAATAAAATAAAGATAGAAGTGATATTTTTAATATTTATTTTTTTTATACAATTCTCAACACATAATGTTTTTTTTTTTTTTACCTATTTTAAAAGGAAAAAACTTTCCTATAACTCTTTCTAAATTGAATTCATTTAATAACTTTCTCTATATTAGTTTCTTACTAAACATAACAAAATTAATAATTCAACAAAATTATAACAAAATTTTATTACAAAATTTAACAATTTTCTTACAATATATTTCAATCTTTTCATATAATACTTTTCATCTACTTTTTCGGTAAAAACTTTCTTGATAAAATAACAACCTAACCAAACATGTTTTTAATTTTAACTTTTTTTAAATAAAACACAAATAAACAAATCAAGTAGTGGTATATATATATAAAGGGTACTCTTTAATTTTGATAACACCACAAATATGTTATTTAGTTTCACTAATATTTTATTAGTGTATAGTTGTTTTTAATAAGATATTATAATGTTTGAAAATATTAATTTATAAATTAATTTTAAAATATTAACTATTTTATTAATTATTAATTATGTTTAATTAATAATCAAATTAAATAAAATTAATAATTTTGAAACTATTATTATGTGACCTTTAATATAATGACATGTTACCATAGTTATAGTTACACCTTATACAAAGTGTAAAACATTTTGAACTATTATTGATTGGATGAGGATTTTCTTTCCTCTAAAGTCAAATTTTGCACGATGGAAACCGACCAGCTGTATAATTACAACTTTTTACTGTTCAAGGTCCTCGTGTTTTTCTAAAAATGAATAATTTATTATTTTTTTGTTGACCTACAAGATTAAATTTAATAAATCATAGCTAAATTAATAATTTTTTATTTTAAATTACATAATAAAAAATAATTTTA